TGAGTTAAGGGACACGCAGGAAAATAAAGATTGGTGTGTTCGCTCATTATTTGCTACACTTCATCCCTCAACTTAAGGCTCAACATCTTCTGTAGTCCATGTGGCGTGTTTGGAGTGGAACGTGTTGGATTGGTCTCATTATGATCCTTGAGTGTAGCTGTTAAGATCCCTATTGATTCCTGGGTTCACTAATCGACTGTACTCTGCTCCAGAACCAGCCGTAAATCCTCAATATGTAGAATTAAAAATAAATAAATAAATAAAACACCTAACGTTGAGCTTATTTCTTTTACTCTGCAAGGAATAGAAATGCTCATTTAAAGGTCTAATTAATAAAATTCATACATAAACAGACATTAATAAAATTGACATGTTCTTAACAATCCAAAGAAAAAAATGTTCATGTGATGCTACTGAGTCTAAACCAGTACTGTCACTTTTTATTACGGAGCAAACCTGACTACTCTCCATAAACACATTAGTCGAATCAGATCAAGCACATTTCTGAACACCTGCTGGTGAGATTAAAAGAACTGAAAGTGAAAGAAAGCTCTATGCATCGTTCTGAGCTGCTTTAACTACGTTTCTGGTGATTAAAACACAAAACGGCCATAAAATAATAGACAAAGAACATCAAGTTAATCCAGTTAGTTTCACTTTCTTTTATGTTAAACTGGAATGAAAGTGGAACCAACTCTGATTTTCTCTACACCGTCATTGGTTAATGGTCTCCTTGAGCCCGCCTCCAACTGCTGGTGATTCGATGTCCAAATCACAACACAGGGAACTCCAACCAGACAGAAAGTCAATCATACAGATCGGGGACTGAGTGCTTCCGTACCAGAACGGCACTACGAATGTGCATATCGTATCGTATCATGCTGTATTGTGTTGTATCATACTGTAGCACGTCGTATCGTGTCATGTCATTACATCATATCATAATATATCGTATCGTATAATGTCGTATTGTGTCACATGACATTATGTCGTATTATATTGTATCATATCATGTCGTATCGTCTTGTATCGTACGTAGCGCGTCGTATCATGTCATGTATCATATCGCATCGCATCAAGGTTGTATGATACGTCATATTGTATAATTTTGTATTATAGTGCATCATATTGTGTCGTGTCATGTCAAGTCATATCATGTCGTATTGTACCGTGTCGTATCGTGTCATGTAGTATCATAGTGTGTCGTGTCATGTCATGTCATATCATATCACATTGTAAATCATGGCGTGCCGTGTCGTGTTGTGTCATATCGTATCGTAACATGTCATGTCACATCATATCGTGCCACGTCATATCATGTTAAATCATATATCATATCATATCACGTCATATTGTGTCACGTCATGTCATATCATGTCACGTCATGTCATATGTCATATCGTGTCATGTCATGTCATATCATATCATATCATATCATATCACATTGTAAATCATGGTGTGCCGTGTCGTGTTGTGTCATATCGTATCGTAACATGTCGTGTCACATCATACTGTGCCACGTCATATCGTGTCACGTCATGTCATGTTAAATCATATCATATCATATCATATGTCATATTGTATCACGTCATGTCACGTCATGTCATATCATGTCACGTCATGTCATATGTCATATCGTGTCGTGTCATACTGTGTCGTGTCATATCGTGTCATATCATATCATATTGTGTCACGTCATGTCATAACATGGCATATCGTGTCATATCTTGTTGTGTCATATCGTGTTGTGTCATACTGTGTCGTGTCATATCTTGTCGTGTCTTGTCATATCGTGTCATGTCCTATTGTATCATGTCATATTGTATCGTGTCATGCCATATCATATCATGTCATATTGTATTGTGTCGTGTCGTATAGTATCCTGTTGTGTTGCATCGTGTCATGTCATATGGTAGCTCATTGTATCATGTCATGTTGTATCGTATCACTTTGTACAGCATGTCATATTGTTTCATGTCATGTCTTGTCATATATCATGTCGAATTGTATGATGTTATGTCGTATCGTAGCCTGTTGTATCATGTGATGTTGTATCGTATAATGCTGTAGATCATGTCATATCGTATCGTATCTCATCATTGTTTATATTGTTTACTGAAATAGATCAGTATATTTTGTGATAATCTAAGAGTCATATGATAGACAGATAGATGATAGATAGATGATAGATAGATAGATAGATGATAGATGATAGATGATAGATGATAGATGATAGATAGATAGATAGATAGATAGATAGATAGATAGATAGATAGATAGATAGATAGATAGATAGATAGATAGATAGATAGATAGATAGATAGATAGATAGATAGATAGATAGATAGATAGATATTTTTATTTTCGGTCAACAACAACAATTTATCAATTTTACATAAAAGTAATCAAGCAACTGAAAAAAGGAATACTGGTAGGTTGAAGCCTAGTGGCTTATAATTAGCCTTTCCTTAACTCCCACAGAGATAATTAAATCATTAACCAAGAGAAAACAAATAGGGCTGATAGATAAGATGCATAACATTTAAAGAAAAAGCAATGATAAATCAAGAAATCAAATCAACACAAAGTTAGACATCAAACTAAGTTTCTATAACTTTGGAAGAAGCTAATTTTTACATTTTTCTTAGAAAATGACAAAGAATAACACATCTTCAGTTCATCATTAAGTCCATTCCATAACTTCACTCCCAAAACAGACACACATCTATACTTAGCATTAGTTCTCACTTTAGGTATTTCAAACATATAAGACCCCCTCAAATCGTATTTTCCATCCCTTAATTTAAACATACTTAAAATAAAATTGGAACATTCTTTTTCACCACTCTATACATCATTTCTAAAGTTTTAAGATATATAATGTCCTTAAATTTTAACACATCTGATCCTACAAAAAATTGGTTCGTGGACTCCCTATATACAGCATTATTTATTATTCTAATAGCTCTTTTTTGCAATTTAAAAATTGATTCCAAATATGTTTTGTATGTTTTCCCCCAAATTTCCACACAATAACTCATATAAGGCAAGCAAAGGGAAGTGTACAGTAAATAAAGGAAGCCCTTGTGCAATAAATCTCTTGTTTTATAAAGAATAGAAATAGGCTTAGATAATTTCCATTTCACATGATCTATGTGAGACTTCCAACAAAGTTTATCATCAATTATTACTCCTAAAAATTTAGTCTTATATACTCTTTCAATTTCAACATTATTTAGATTCAATTTTACTTCAATATTACTCTTAATACCTTCAAATGACATAAATTTAGTTTTACTTTCATTCAGTGAGTTTATTAAATACAACCCATCTATTTAACTTCATCAATTCTGTTTCCACTGTTTTCAGTAATTCCTTTGTTATCTCCAGAAGAAAATAAGTTTGTATCATCAGCAAACATAACACATTTTAAAATATCACTAGCTGTACAAATATCATTTATATAAAGTAAAAATAGCTTAGGTCCCAACACCGATCCTTGCGGAACTCCACAAGTTACTTTTCTAAGTTTAGATTTCATATTATTAATACTCACATATTGGAACCTTCTTTCAAAGTGGCACTATCCATCTTTATTCTGCTGGGCTTTAGAATCAACGGATAGAACCCAAAACTAAACATTTTATCAGTAAATTCAGAAGTCTTATTGTGATCATTTGCCTTCAATAAATCAATTTTAAAATCACCACAAAATAAAGTCGTCTTTTCTTTGTGTTTTTCCAGTATTACAGAAATTTCTCTCATAAACTGATCTATGCACGATGCAGGTGTACGATAAATACAGCTAACTAATATGTTTTTAGATCTTTCAACTTGAATTTCAATAGTTAAACATTCCATCAAGTTATCCACCACAGCAGTCATATTGTTAACAATTTTACATTTAAGACACGATATAACAAATACAGCGACACCTCCTCCTCTTCTATTCCTCCTATTTTGCCAAAACATTTCATAACCCTCTAGTCCATCCTGCAGTTCTGTCATCATCCAACCATGTTTCTGAAATTGCCACCAAAGCAAACGTATTTTGAAATTGATCAAGATACTCTTTGATTTAAAAAAAATTACTGTAAAGATTGTGACTGTTAAAGTGAATTAACGAGAAACCTTTTATCTTGGGATCTAACTCTTCCCCACTATAATAATCACATGTCATATCAACACTGTCATATGTCACATGTAACACACATCACTTGAAAGGACAACCATTTATTAGGTGACCCAGTGTTTTCCAGAGTGTTCTCATGAACAAAATAGCTTTCAAAAATGCTTTATATCAGAAAAAACATATACTACCATCAACAAGCTTCCTTTACATAAAGTATTTATATTTATTGAAAGATCAAAATCACAAATGTTGAGGCTCCATCACCAACTCCTAATCCCTATGCAGTATTCCTGCACCCTCATTTTCTTCTTTTGTGATTATAATAATCTAAACCCATTTCTAGCTAAATTACAGTGCTTGCTGATCTTTCAGTGCACTTCCACTGAATATCGTGTAGCAACATCACATAATGCCTATATTATTATGAGGCATACAGATGCTGCACCTGTTGCAGCAGAGTTATCATCTCGTGTGTCTAACAAAAACATGATTGTTTCGGAGAATGAGCAGAGAAAGGATCTGCAGCTCAAGGTGTTCTGAGTCTTCACAACTCTGCCATTAAACTTTAAACCCACCGCTCCTCCGGGTAAATATTCAGACGGTGCTATTTAACAAGAAACAGCCTTCTCACTTACTGGCTTCACAGTACAAAAACAGAATATTTCTGCCCGACTGTTTTGTTGCAAGATCATTTCTGATTCATCACTTCCTGCAGGCTTTGAAATATGCAGCGATCGCCATGGCTACAGATGGCATGTGAATAATTACTGCACTGTGAATGATTGGTTTATTTATTAGAATGTAGGTTGTTGGCTTTGCTGTGAATAATCTAGAAAACACAAAGTGTGGGTGATTTATTTATTCGCACCTTGTGTGAGAAGCTGTAGAGTCCTGACTTCCTCTCGGACACGAAGCTGCAGGACCTGCTGCAGGATGTGCTGCCTCTGGGCTTCTTGCATGACTCCCATTCGTTCCAGCTTTCTCTCTGTCAGTCTCATGAGAGCTCGCCCTGGAGGGGAGTCAAAAAGAAGGAAACAAGGACTCAGGTTCAAGAGCTGAGGGGGATTTAACCTGCAGTGAGAAAACTCATGTGAGTGGGAGAGCAAAAATTTTTATAAATAACACAAAACGATGCTACATATTGACACCATAAAAACAAATGTTTGAAGAGTCTTTTCCTGTGATGTGGCCATCAGTCCTAAATGTCTAATTAAGCCCCATGCAGCCCTTGGTAAAGCCGGCTCTTCTTGAATTAATATCAGAACAGTACATCCCTCCAGCAACAAGCCCTCACAGCTCTGTCATTAATAGAAAATCCTTGTATAAAATACATAGTTTAATCATCCAATCAATGCTTATAAAGAGGATTTAGGTTGCTAATAAAAACACAGTGTAATTATTAATGCCTTTACAACATGTAAGCAGAGGATAATGTGGGGGTTTACTGGCATCAGGTCACTCTGATGGCTAATTAACACGAATCCAACTAAAATAATCCATAAATTCAAGTAAAAAACTTTTTCTTCCTCTCCTGGTTTCTAGTTTTAATTTTTATGGCAGCTTGAGGTCAGATGTGCAAAACTGTATGAGAATAAAATGTGATTTTTATGAAGGAAAATGGCAGATTTCCATGTCTTCATTTTTATTTTTTTTTATCCTATTTCAGTGCTTTTTTTTGTGCCAAGTCCCAAGCTGCCACTTTGCCACCACAGCTGGGGAACGCGGAGCAGCCAAGTGTTGGTGCCATCATGTTGACGCATTTCTCCAGCCTTAACAAAGGAGGCTCTTTGCACACCGCCACGTCCAAACAGAGGCTAAATGCCAAACGAGGTTCAGATGTTTCAACGTTAAAAACGCCAAAGCGTTACGTAAACTCCAGTGGGCTCAAAGAACAGCGCGTGAAAAGAAAAGATGGAGACGCAGGATCATGAATGGGCTGCAACAGAGCAGATGGAGACTGGTAAGAGTCTAAATATTGACCAACTGTAGGATAGATCAGCATGGCAACGCAGAAGAACCATAACAACATTAAATTATCTTTCAACTTTTGTTTCTGGAAGTTAAAACTTTCAACTTGGAAGAGAATGATGTGTTCACAGACTGGAAAAAAGGGAATTTTTTTAAAAATGCAGCTTGGCAACTGAATGCAAAAACCAATAATTAATCAGATTTTAGGTTTCAGGTTAAACTGATCAAGCTGAAAATTGGCCAACTTTGATCGCCAAAGGATATTTTGGTGCCATCTTTTAGTTCTTTTTAAAACACAGAAAGGTTTTATTTACGTTGCAGGTAAATTAAACCTTTCTGTGCTTTAAAAATAACTAAAAGATGGAATTAGAATTTCAACACAGCAAGAACACACCAAAGATATGTTGGTGCATTTCCAGTTTCTAACCTCTTTAGTTCTTATGAAGTTGAATATCACCCCCAAAAAGTGATTTAACCACAAGCCAACCAACAACAAATTACCCACAAGTCTAATGTTACTACATTAAATGTTTCATTTTACTGTAGTGGATTTAGCTGCATTTTCGCATCATATATGACTGTTTAAGTCTGAATTTCATATTAATTAGGTGACAAAGCCGTTCAACTTAAAGTCAGATCTAAAAGTTTAATCTTAAAGGTGCATTATGTGAACATAGTGAGAATTTAACAGTGAGAAAATGCCAAAGAGAGTCTAATGTTTCAGTCATTTTGGGAAAAGGGTATGCTGAAACATATTTCATATCCAGCTGGCTGCGGGGATTCAGTTTTTGTCCTTTCAAAACATTGGCAGGAGGGACGTCACTAATGTTTACCACCAGAGAGTGTGGAGTTGCCGTGTCTCCTGTGAGCCAATACTGCAGCGCCGACGGTTGTAATTTGACGATGGACTTGAATAGCTCCAGACTTCTTTAAAGTGGTTGAAGTAAGCAAATTTTACTACAGGATGTCTTTTTTTACTTCATTTCTACACACCGCACCTTTAACGTCTTCATGTAGAGGTCAGGATGGTGAAACAAAGCTAAGATGTAACAGGAAAAAACTAATCTAAAGATTTCTTTTTTTTAACCCTCCCACTGTCTTTATGGGTGGCCCCGTGAGGAAAGTTGACCATTGAGCAGGATTGATGGGTTATCCCTTGAGGTCCATGTGGCAGGGGTGAGGTGGTGCTCACTCCTCACCCCTGCCACATGAACCCAAGGGATAAATCATCAACAAGGAACATTGCTAAGCTGAGTCCCATTCTGTCCCGCTCTGAACTTGAGACAGTTCTCCACACCTTCATCTCCTCACGCTTAGACTACTGTAACTCTCTTTTCACGTGTCTGAGCAGAACCTCCCTGAACCGTCTACAGGTGGTTCAGAATGCCTGTGTTCGGCTTCTGACCAAGTCCTCCAAACACAGCCACATCACCCCGCTTCTCCTCCAGCTTCACTGGCTGCCAGTCAACTTCAGGGTTCATTTCAAGATCCTGGTTCTGATCTATAGGGCCTTACATGGACAAGCACCATCTTACATTGGTGATCTTCTTAGTCCCTACACCCCCAGCAGGTCCCTGAGGTCCAGTGATCAAAGCCTACTGGTTGTGCAGCACCAGGCTAAAGACCAAAGGTGACAGATCATTTGCTGCTGTGGCCCCCAGACTCTGGAACTCTCTCCCCCTGAGCCTGAGATCAGTGGACTCAGTGGTCTCCTTTAAAAAGCAGCTGAAGACTCACCTGTTCAGGCTGGCTTTTGTATGACCTTCTTCACCCTCTCCTTGTTCTGCTCTCCCCACCTACTCCACCCTCCTCAGGATCCACTGATTTCCCTCTTTCCTGTTCACTCTCTCTTTCTTAACATCATTTTTTATCACAATTGTCTATTTTTTGCTCATTTTAAATATATTTTTAATCATTTTCTAAATTCTTTATATTTTTACATTTGTTGTGTTTGTGAAGCGCCTCGTGATTTTTATCTTGAGAGGTTCTTCTTCATCCCTACTCATTGGTCAACTTTCCTCACGGGGTCACCCATAAAGACTGTGGGAGGGGTAAACTAACCTTACAGAAATATCTGACTTCAAAGAAAATTTGCTTCAAGTAGGGTTTTTTAATTTTGACTGAAAAGCATGACGTTACAAACTTACATGCTGGAGCTGGGACCCAGTTCCCCATTCTTTACAAGTCTTCTGCCTCCTTGAGGAGGATCTAAGTACTGCAGCACACAAGTACCGATTCTATTTGTTATCATTGTTTAAATATGCTACATTTATCTAATAAACTGTCCTTGGTAATTAGGTTTTATAGACATAGAAAATTATTGACCTTTTTATTTGTTTGATTGTTATTTCATCAGGTTTTAAAGGTTAAATTCAGAAAAGTTTTGCAAAACCTGCAAGCCATTAGATTTCCTAAAAGCCATTTTTGCAGATTGTTACAAAAAATATTTGATTTACTAAAATGACCTAAAATTGCTAAATTCACAGAATGGAAAAGAAATGTTTTATTTTAATCAGAATCCAGATAATAGCCACAGACAATAATCTAAAGACAGATTTATGCTCCTCTGAAAGGTCTGTCACATGAATACAAAAAAAGTTGAATTTAGTTGGACTTTAATAAAACAGCCAGTAGACTTCATAAAAGATCATAAAGTTAAAAGTGTGTGAAACAAGCATGCAGAGAATGTAGCTTTTTCAGCAAATTCTGAATTCACCAGTCGTTGCAGTTTTTAATAAATCTGCAAGTAAACCACTGAGCATGAATGATTCATTTCTAAACCCAGATCTTCATCTGCTAACGAGCTCATAACGCAGGTGAGTGTTGCAATTACCAGTGGAACATTAAAGCGATTACGGAGCAAAAACATTCAGTCGGCGTGCCACGCCCCTCTGGTTGCGATGAGGCATCAGCGGGGCACAACGGCTTCTGCAAGGAGCCCAAACCTTTTAACTCTGTTTCTGCAGTTCTGAGTCATTGGCATCGACAATCCTATCGTGTCCCAGCTGGGAATTTTTCATACCACTATTAATGCACTGTGCAGCGTAGCGTGACTGGGAGGAGGAGGAGGGGAGGAGAGAAACATGGCCAAGAGGAAATAAATAAGGTGAAATGGAAAAAGGAGATGCTGAAAGAAATGTCTGGTGGTGACAGAAGAAATGGAACTCAGATGTGAAAGAATACAGAAATGTAAAAGAAGGCTGACAAAAAATACATCAACAGAATGTTTCTGTTTTTGAAATTATTTTTAGTTTTCAAACAGGCTTTAAAATCTCTAATAAGCCTTCTCAGTTCATCCAAGCTAACTGTATTTATTATGCACCTTAAAAAACATCAACAATATGTATATACGACAGCATTTAAACAATAGATAAGAAAATACATGAAAGCACATCAAACAAGGGTAAAAGCAGCACAACAGTGAGCTAAAATGATAAAAACTACTGAAATAAATAATTCATACAGCTAAAAATTAAAATTTCATAAACACTAGAACACACAAAATATCCCTATATTAAATGGGTGACAGCTAAACAATAATGAGCTAATGAGTGAACAGGAAGGGCTGGGCATCGGGGTGGCTTCAGAAAAGTGTTCAAATGGGCAGAAAAACTACATTTCGAGGATTCATTACTGGGTCACACTTAACAAAACCCCTGCCAACGTCTCGAGTTAATGGCCTTTATCAGAGCTTGAACAAACAGAGAAAAAAGGTCACATCAGGAGGTTTAATGTAACATGACCTTTTGATCCGTTCACCTATTAGCTCCTATGAATGAAATGCATGTAAGCTCTAATGACGGCCATTATAGTGAAACACTAGCATGATCTCACAGAAAAATGGATTTTATGTGTTGGAGATACATACTAGAGGGCTGCATCGGGATTGGGTCCCCCAACACAAATCCTGCGTGGGCGGGCGGTGTGAATTTTGCTGCGGGCGGGAACGGTCGGCTAAAAGAAACAGTGCGGGATCGGGATGAGTATGATGGAGTCGGCAATTGATGTTGAAAAGAAGCTGAAACAAGGTCTTTATGACAC